TTGGCCTGAAAAACACATTCAGAGCTTAAAGAAGCTAATACAGTACTTCCCCCGCCCCACCCCTGCCCTGGCTTTTATAGAAGCCTTACTAAAACAAAAAATCCCAAAGCACAAATACTTTACTGAACCCACTGAACACTTTCATCTACACCAAAACTTCAGTGTTTAACTGGATTATCCAGCTTTCCTGATCATTGAAAGCCAACCAGTCTTGTCATATTGATGGATGACATTTTGGTTATAAGTACCTCAGTTCTCAGTCCTTCCTGCCAGAGATGGACCCCCTAAGGATCCTTGGTCAGATAGCAAAGCTATGACAAGACTAGTAGACTAGTTCATTCAGTATAGTGTTTTTATTTCATTTCTTTGAGACATGGTCTCTCTATGTACTTCAAAATGACCTTGAACTCACTATGTAGCTCAGGCTGGCCTTGAACTCATAGGTGATCCTCCTGCCTCAGCCTCCTGAATGCTGATATTACAGGCGGGTACCACCAAGCCCAGCTTCAGTAAAGTGTTTTGAAGTCCTTAGTCAAAATTGGTGCTTGTCTAGAATGTTTGTTTTGAGTAAGTTTTAAGGACTGGGATGTGAAGCACCTTAGATGTATTGACTTTGGGTCATTTGAACAGGAGTACTGTGGCCATCGCTGAGCTGGTGGCACATCACCCCAAGTCCTTCTACATGCCTTGCTGTAAGAAATGCAAATTGGAAGAGCTCCTGCCTTCCTGACAAAAAAGGAACATGCAGCTAATGCTACTTCGTCCTTAGCTTCAACCTTGAATGAGTGAATATTGCCTGAAGACAGTGGTCTTAGACTGTGAGTGATTCTCCAGGTCACCATGGTTGGTTGGTTGATGGAACATTACTGAGCCATTGCACCAGCCCTGGCCTGCTTACCTGTGGATGTCCTCCTTCTGACAAAGTCTCACTAAGTTGCTCAGGCTGGCCTCAAACTCATGATCCTCCTGCCTCAACCTCCCCGTAGCTGGGATTATATGTATCACCTAGCCCATCTTAGACTTCTTATATAAGAAAAAGAATCCCTTTTTATTACTTAAAAGCAAAGCATCTCTAACTGATAATGGAATTTGCTATCTAAAAACGAGTGGTTCCAGTGAACAGAATTGGCTAAGTGGAGGAGGTAGGGGAAATGGAGATTCAACTATTTGAAGCTGGAAAACTAGGGACCTTTTTCATTTGATGGTAAATGATCAGTTATATTGTCACTTGCTAAGTGACTCAGAGACTAAAGCTGGAGTGTATAGGAAAATAGAAATAAATGTAGATTGCCGATGTATTTATTAAGTGAAGCTTCTGCTATTGGCTTGTAATCTGGAGACTGGCAAGGGGTGAAAAATACCACTTATGTCCTAACATGGAACCAATTGAGCAGGATTGATGAAAAGTCATTCTTTCTTTGATGTACTGGGGATAGATTGCTTGTGTAAAGCTCTAATCAGCTGGATCCAGAGAATCTGTATCTAGCCGTAAAAAAGACTCCACAGAATTCAGACATGCAGGACTCAATAAGTTGAATGGAAACATTTGCTAAAACTCTGAGGTGGACTTCTAAATCCTTGGCAGGGGCAGTATGTTCTATATAAAGAAGTGGGTTGGGGCAGGTTTGTAAATAGTCCACCTTGGTTCTCCTAAACCCTTTCTTGTATTTTACTTTTTAGAAACATTAAATATTCTCTTTCTCAGTTTTCCTTGCAGCTAATATATAAGACAAGCAGGAATCTACTGAGATGGAGTGTGATTTCTGGGAGTACTTAGCTTTCCAGATAAAAGATACATACTGCTACTACATGTATTCCAAAACAGACGTGATATCTGCCACTACAGCAACCATACTGTGACCTAGAGGAAAAAGGCAAGTGAATCACAGTGAGGCTTTCTTTGACATTAGTGAGTCTCTGAAGCAGTATTAATTGCTGCTACTTCCAGACTTTCTTGTTACATGAGAAAAACAAATTCTAATGTGTTAAACTCTATTAGGTTTTCATTTACATGCAGCTGAAAGCATTTCTAATAGATACACATGTATTCCAGAGATAAGGTTCTACCCTATCCCTACAGAGACCATTGTGTTAAGTCGATAAACCTTCCTTAGCCAACCCTGGTTTCGGTAGTAAGTTTATCTTCCTGTGGGCTGAGATTTGGGAAGAATTGGGGAAGCCTCCCACACACAATTCCCCACTCCTGGTGCTGATGCCAAACCTGCACATCCTCAGCCACCCACAACCTGGGTGAGTGATCACAGAGTCAATGAAGGTCCTGCACAGCTGGATGTGAAGACAACAGGGCTGATCTTAACAGGTTGTTGCTCCTGTCCTAAACAGGGCAGGATAAGGTGTCAGCACCAGGGTGGGTTTCCCTCCAGCCCCTGACACCTGAAAGCCTGAGTGGCTATACTTTCTCTGGAGGAGATAGGAGGTCCTGGGATAGTGGCTCCAACAGGCCTCCATATTTTCTATACCTTTTACCAGCAAGAAGTAAATTCTGGGTCCTGATCAAGAGTTTTTCTAGTCCATAAATAATCTCTGTGCCATGGGACAGGACTCTCAATTTGCTGGCAATTTCTTTATTAGGTAAGTTTCTTTTTTTTTTTTTTGGTACCAGGGATCGAACTCAGGATCTTGAGCTTGCAAGGCAGGTGCAGTACCACTGAGCTAAATCCCTGGCCCCTAGGTAAGTTTCTTTTGACCTAGGAAAAAATTTCTGTTTAGGCAGAGAAAATTTTTCTATTCTATAAAATAAAGTTATAAAGCTGGAGAGTTTGAAGTTAAACATTAAAAAAAATAAAATTTTGAATGTAAATAAAATGAATATTAATAAAAGTAAAAATAATTTCAACCAATCTATCCTATGTATAAAAGCCACCCCTAGTTACAATGAAAATATACAATTTGGGGTTTTTTTACAGTATTCATTCATTTTTATTTTGTTTGTTTTTTGAAACAGTGTTGTTCAGGCTGGCCTTGAACTGTGTAATCCAGGCTGAATTCCAACTCAGTCCTTCTGCACCAGCCTCCTAAATTCTGGGATTATAGGTGTGTGCCTGTATAGGTGTCTTTAAAACTGATTTGCCCTGGCATGATAGTACTCGCCCATAGTCTCAGCACTTGGGTGGTTGAGGCAGGAAGATTGCCACAAGTTCAAGGCCAGCCTGGTCTACATAGTGAATTCAAGACCAACCTGAACTACATAGTGAGACTTCATATCCAGAAACAACAACAACAAAAAAAGATTCAGTTCACTCAGAGTGAAGGCTCTGGGCTTCCATCTAAGTCAGCCCCTAAGGACTGTGTCATCCTGGTGTAGGACGTGTCTGGAGGAGAGAACGAGGCTGCCCGGAGGAAGACGGTGTGCTGTGGTGAGATACAGCACCAGTCCAGGGACTCCATGTAGGACTCTGCCCTGTCTTTATCTAGCTGAGCAACCAAGGCAAGTCCCTTCCATAGCTGAATCCAGCTTTATGGGCAGAGAAATGGGGTGAATGCTCGCATCTGCTTGAATCAAAAATTCACTAGGCTTCTATGAAAAAAAAATACATGTAAAATTTTTGTAACATTACATGTAAATCTTTGTAACATTAAAAAGAGAAAAAGAACATTCCCTTTTGAATACTCCTTACTCATCCAGAGTAGCTCTCCTTTCCCTACCTTCAAATAAATCATTTGCTGTTATTTTAAATTCTGCTTCTTTAGTTCTTTTACCAGTGCCAGGTTTAGGATCACCAGGAGCTGCATGTTCCAGCAGAGCTGTGGGATGGTGTGGCGTGGCGTTGTGTTCACTCCTTTCCAGACATTACAGAAATAAGGAACCTATCCCACCCTCTTAAAATAAGTTTACAACATAATGGTAGCTGGCCGTGCATCTCAGTAGCTGCACTGGGGGAATACAGGAAGCAATCTTTGTGTTCACCCACTTGATATGACAAACAGCAAGGTGTACATACGTGTGTCAAAGTGTAAATGGAATTAACCCAATTCACTACAATATAGCATGAAAATCTGCTTTTACAACTTTGGGAGGAAGTTGAAAGTGAGTCATTAGGTAACTGTGCTACTGATGATGACTTGGACCATGTAAGCCAAAGAATTTAGCAAGATATGACAGATAGAGAAGTACAGAATGAAGACCTTGATTCAGATGAGGAAGAAAACAGTGATGTAAATAAATATTTGACTGGTCAAAATACTATAAAATGATCATGTATACCTGAGTGATCTAATGTTACAACTAGGTCAGAAAATGTTATTAGGTTCTTACCAGTGGTGCCAGTGGCTCAGCAAGTGACTCCTGTTAATCTGGAAAGCCCTGAGTAGAAGTTTGTGGTTCCTTATATACCCTTTTTACATCTACAAAGCTTAATTCCATTGGAGTTTCCCTGGGAATATAGCAAGCAGGATTTGCATAAAGCAGAGCAGTGGAGAGGGGGAGAGCAAAGAGTTCTGGCAGGACTTTCTGAGTCCATTACGCTCCTTTGGTGACAGATTACAGAAGTTGTCATGGCTACTCAGGTACATTCTACAAAGTGCATAGTTACCTAGTAAACCCATAGTTGCCTAATAACACAGATAACTCATAGTTGCCCAGTTCCATACGGAGGGGTGGTTGCTTCTCTCAGCATAATTGGTTCACTAGTTACCCATTGATGTTAATTTGCTAAAAGAACAACAGTTGAGGGCCAGGGATTTAGCTCAATGGTTCCAGCACCTGCCTCACAAGCACAAGGTCCGGAGTTTGATCCCCGGTACCAAAGAAAAAAGAACAACTGTTGACCAGCACAGAAACAATTCACAGGAACAAAGTCAAGATTCCTTTAAAAATGTTGCAAGTTCACAATAGGGAAATGTACAATATAATCTTTGGATTTCAGAAAGACAAAACATTGGCCTCCTATATGGTGAAGAAAAACAAAGTAGTATTGATATTGTCAAAATTACACCATGATGATAAGATTGATAATGAGGCTGGGCATAGTGATGCATACCTGTAATTCCAACACTCAGGAGGCTGAAGCAGGAGGATCCTGTGAGTTCAAGGTCAAACTGCTACATAGTTTAAGAGTAGCCTCGACTTTGTAGTGGGACTCTGTCTCAAAACAAACAAACATTGATAGTGATGCCTAAACACAAATGAAGCCAGAAATAGTCACATTTTACAACAAAATAAAAGGCAGGGTAGATATTGACGAGTTACGCAGCAACTATGATGTCACTCAAAACACAAAGCATTGGCCAATGGTTGTGTTTTACTCTCCTAAACATGTGAAGCATAAATAGTTTCAAAAAAAAAAATAGTTTCATAGTTTACAAAGGGACTGGGGATTTAGCTCAGTGGTTCCGCCGCCTGCCTCGCAAGCGCAAGGTCCCAAGTTTGATCCCCAGTACCAGAAAAAATCAGTTACAATCATAGTTTACAAAGATAAATAACAAGGACAAAATATCAGAAAGAAATTTTCTTGGAGGACTGGGACTAGAATTGGTAAATAATTACAACGGAAGAACAGTATGTATCTGCCCAAAGAACTCCTTGAAAGAATTCTGGAGCAAATCAATGAACAGACAAGTGAAACATCACAAGAACCTCCTAAGAAAACAGGAAGAGCAGCAATATGTCAAGTATGTCCTACCTAAAAAGACAGGAAAACAAAATACATCAGCATAAGCAACACTTGTGTATGGGACATGCCGTTCTTATGCGTGAAAACTGCCTTAGGTGTGTTAATCAAAGTAAAGTGTTTTTTTGTGGTAGAGTTTTATTTGTATTTTCAATGTAGTTCACATAGAAATTTATTTCTGCTGTTATTTTTAAAATTTAGTAAGCAGACAGCTGATGTAGAAAATGTTGTTTTTTCTAAACAGCTATTTGATATTTTATTTTTCTGCTAAGTGGACATTGTATACTATAATAGGAAGCACCTGACAAAAGAGGAAGATGAGAGGTAACAAGTATGACCTGCCAAACAGGAAAGGAAAGCTAAGCACACATGCTGTCAATGTGAGTGAGACTTGTGTATGGAAAATGCTGTTGTCATGTGTGAAGGCTGCTTTAAGTGTGTTCACATAGAAATTTATTTTTGCTGTTATTTTTTAGATTTTGTAAGCAGGTAAAGAGTTGATGTTGAAAATGTTGGTGTTTATTCTACATACTCATTACATATTAAATATTTAATATTTTATTTTATTGATTTTTTATTTTCCTTTTAAGTACATGTGGTTTAATATATAAAACTCATAAAATTAAAATTAATAATTAATCAATAGAAATACTTCTTAAAAATAAGTATGGGCAGGGCCAGGGATTTAGCTCAGTGGTTTCACCGCCTGCTGCACAAGCGCAAGGACCCAAGTTTGATCTCCAGTACCAAAATAAATAAATAAATAAATAAATAAATATGGGCATTGCACACTCTCATAACACACCTTTTCTAAAAATGTGCCATGATGCCCCTGGGGCTACCCTCACCTTATACCCTTGCTACCTGCCTCACTTCCCTATTGGATCAGTATTAACTAAGGATTATACTTGTAACCTGTAGGTTGATTGCAGTTTGACCCATGTTGGATCCATGCTGGGATTTTGCTGTATACAATATCCTTAGAGAAAAAGCCCATTCACTCTGGGGCCCTTCCTGTCTCTCAGAATCTTTTTCTCAATAAATCTTTCCTACCCCCCCCCAAAAAAAACAGAGAGAGAGAGAAATAAACCTGCACAGCAAAGGAAACAGCAACCAAAAAGAGATAATCTACAGAATGGGAGAAAGTATTTGCAAATTATCATCTAACACCAGGTTGATATCCAGAATATACAAGGAACCCCTAAAACTCAATAGCAAAAAGCCCAAATAACCTTATCTAAAAATGAGCAATAGACCTAAATACACATTTCCCCAAAGTGGCCAATGGATATATGAAAAAATGCTCAAAACCACTAATCACTGAAGAAATACAATCAAAACCACAGTGGGACATCACATCACTCCAGTAAGAATGGCCCAGTAAGAATAAAAAAGATAAAAGATAATAAGCTCTGGCAAGGAGGTAGAGAAAAGTTTTCCCAGTATTGGTGGGAATGTAAATTAGTAGAGGCTCTATGGAAAACAATTTGGACATTCTTCAAATAATTAAAGATAGAACTACTGTATGATTCACCAGTCTCTTTACTGGTTATATCCAAAGAAAATGAAGTTAGTATACCCAAGAGACATCTGCACTCCCATATTCTGTGCAGCACTATTCATAATACCAGGAAATAAAAATAACCTAAGTGTCCATCAATTGACAATCAGAGAAAACATGGAGTAATATTCATCATGTCAGAATACTGTTCATCAACAGAATGACTGAAATGTTATCTGTGACAACCTGGATGGAACTGGAGATAAGTCAGGCACAGAAAGATGAATACTGTATCATCTTATTTATATGTAGAATTTTATTTTTTTTCCAGTATTGGGGATTGATGAAGAATTTTTAAAAGTTGATTTCTTAGAAGGTGAGAGCAGAGTGGTGATCACCAGGGTCTGGGGAAAGAAGAGGAAAGGGAGTTAATGGGGAAATGATCAGTGAGTACTAAGTAATAGATTAGAGCAAGAAGTTCTGGTGTAATGTTCCAACAGAAAGGTAACTAACAGTAAGGTACTGTAATTTCAGAAAAGCTAAAGGAAATGTTTTGAACCTTTTCACCATAAAGAAATGGTAAGTGGCAGAGGAGATAGATATATAGATGGGTAAATAGATACATGGGAAAATAGATAATGCTAACCTGATATAAAGATTACAGAGTATGTATACGTATTTTGTATCTTGAAATACTCAGAGCATTTGTACTTGTAATGTTTATAAGTATCAAAATATATTACTCTACTAATATGTATAATATTTTTATGTATCTGTTAAAAATAAATTTAATTTTTAAAACAGAAACTGGATATGGTGTCAAAAGCCTGTAATTCTAGCTACTTGGGAGGCTGAGGCAGGAAGATTGCAAGTTCAGGCCCATCCTGGGCAACTTAGTGAGACCCTGTCTAAAAATGAAAAATAAAAAGGACTGGGGATGTAGCTCAGTGTTCAAGCACTTGCCTAATGTATATGGCCCCTGCCTTTGATCTCTAGTGCTGTAGGGAAGTGGGGGGGGGCATATCTACATGAGGGTGGGCTTCCTAAGAGCAGACTGGTTGCAGTTGAGAGTCCCTAAAGGCTCAGATGTTATTAATGGCTCCATCCTCAGTGCAGCCCTGGCCTATGGCTCAGTGGTTTCAAAGGCCTCTAGGTAAACCATATGAATAGTTCGCAAGAGCCTTTTACTCACTCTGGAGCCTCCTGTAGTTACTCTTTCCTTCTAAAGAAAGGCATAATTGTTCAGCAGTGGTGTGTCAGCCTAGGGTCACATGGTCCCAGCTACAACTGCTGGCTGCTCACAGAGTTTCAAGGGCAGCTGAACAATAAACACTGTGGTACTCTTTCTATCAGGAATATTAATCACAGGTTTGAGAAGAATCATTCCTAGAGACTAAATCTTGATTTCTGAAATGTCAGCTGTAGAGGGGAGAAAGGGTAATTAACTGCATTCCACCAGAGTCGGCTGTGCAGAGGCGTCAGGCTTATTAAACAGGAAGATTATTCCAGGGAGAAAAGATGAACTCTGAAGAACCTGTAGTAGGGCCAGGTCAGGCTGCCTTTGGCACACTGGGGACCCCACAACCTCACTGCACATGGCCATTCCCTCCTCACATAAACTGGCTGCCAGTTAATAACTGTGATTTGGTTTAATAAATTATTGTCAGTAGTGGGCAGGACTCTTGTCTGACCCCTGTAGTCACAGTCCTCTGGTAACACCTCCTCCCAGTTATTCAGTCCAGCATTAACCTAGGTGCTGCCCTGAAAGGGTTTACAGGTGTAATTAAGGTCCCAATTAGTTGGCCTTAAGGCCTGAGTCCTTTAAGGCAGAAAGTTTTCTACAGCAGGTCCCAGAAGCAGAGATTTGAGTTAATAGCACAGAAAGGATTTGGCCACATCTTGGCACTTGAACAGAGAGTGCCACACGGCAAGGGATGCAGACCATCTCTGAGTGGGTCTCCAATAGCCAGCATGGGAAAAACAAGAGTGTGGGGAATAGGTGGCTCTTCTGTTTTTCCTGTGCTCTTGGGATTGTGATCTGTCTGCCTAATGGAGGGGGTGCCCTGCATAAGGGGTCACGAACACCCCAAATGTCCACTAGTTCTCAAAGTGTGGCTCAGAAGAGGCAGAACCAGCTCATTATTATCACCTGGGGCCTCGCTGGAAGGCTAGGAATGCAGATTCTTGGGCCTTATCCTGCACTTACTGAATTAGAAACTAGAGTGAGGTCCAGCAATCTGCTTTATCCAGCCCTCCTGGTACCCAGATTTGAGAATCTTTGTCCAAGGACCTCAGGTTACCAAGTCATGCTACTTAAGGAGAGCACTCTACAAGGGTGACAGAAGGAGGGATGGAGAACTGGAACATTCTTGTCATTTTCTCATGATTCCTACAATTAGGTCAGATATTTAAAACCACTTGGATGTACTAAGAGAACAAAAGTCCCCAGGGATTATTGGACACCAGCAATAAAAATCTGAGAGTGCTGTTATCTGAACACAGAAAAGCCACAAGGCAGTGATGAGTTACAATGTTCTTTTTCTTCTACACAAGATTGATTATCAAATGGCCTCAAAGCAGAGATCAGAATACATCCATCTTACCTGTTTTTACTCACAATTCTACTGAAACTAAATGCACGGGTTTTTCCACACCAACAACCTGTTCTTCAACTCTCCAGATACCAGCTGGGCACCCAGCCTACAATTCAATTCATTTCTGATGTTACTGGGCATTAGTGGCAGACACCACAGGTTCGAAGACTGTGCCACATGACCCAAGACAGGACTGCATACCCAGTGTACCCACACTCATCTCTGACTTGGGTACAAAGTTGGAGGTTCTAGGCCCCACCTTCAGTTTCATTTTCAGTAATTTGGTAGAGCAGCTCACAAAATTCAAGGCACTTTGCTCACTATTATGCCTATTTATTATAAAGATCATACCTCAGGAATCGGTCTGAGAAAGGATGGATAGGCCAAGGTAAGTGTGGGGCCAGGCATGAGTTTACCAATCCTGAAGCTCTCCAAATTTCCTCTTTAAGGTTTATATGGTGGCTTCCTTATATAGGTATGACTAGTTGAATCATTTCCCACTGGTGATCAACTTAATCCCTAGCTATCCCTCTCTCCAGAGGTCAGGGCTTTGGGCTTGAAGTTCCAAACCTCTAATCATGCCTTGTTCTCTCTGGTCACCAGCTCTCATCCTGAAGGCCAGGCCCCCAGTCACCTCAGTGGGATGGAAATGACATTCTTACTGCTCTGGAGATTCCACAGGGTTTAGAAGCTCTAGGCCAGGATCTGGGATCAAAACCCAAATGGAATGTAGACTTTTTACTGTACTTTTTACTGTCTTACAGTCAGTCACGTATCCCTGTGAACATGTGAGTTCCCCAGGGTAAAGGTCCAACTAGAAGAACTATGACCCACCCACCCCAGGGTGCCTGTGCTCAGCCTTTACTGTTACCCCTACTGTGGAAAGTTTGATGACAGACTGATTCTCTCTTTATCTGCACCAACTGGTCTTAGATAAAAGTTGCTTACAATGGCAATTAAAGTCCACTGGGCTAAGTTCACATCCACTTGACAATGCAATTAAGGCAGGGAAAAATGTAGGGGGACTTGACAGCACTGAGTCTGGGTCTCCCCAGTGAGTCCCACTCCCAGGTCCTCTGGCACAGGCTGATGCCTCCATGCCCAATGGTGGCAGTCTGAGAGTGCATGACTCAGCTTGTACATTGTGCCCATGCCACAGTGTCAATTCCAAAGGGTCTCCCAGCATCCATGTTCCCAAGCCAAGTGACAAGATGCGGTCTGCTGCCACAGTTACTTCCTTCTCCCTGGTATTACCTCCCTTCAATATGCAAGGCTAAGAAATGATTCTGATTAAGCAAAGAAAAAGCCCACTATGCCTACTGGCTGTACATTTTCAGCTCAATTGAATGCTTTTTTTCACCACAGAGAGTGGGCTAATTTGCATGGTGTTTTAAATATTAGGTTATAAGGAGATTGTTAGTAACACTTCTTCAAAGTGCAATAAAATGTAGCACTTTTCACTGGAATTAACTTTTTTTTTGGTACCAGGGATTGAACTCAGGACCTTGCGCTTTCAAGGCAGGTGGTGGAACCACTGAGCTAAATCCCTCCAACTTTTTTAAAAGTTGGAGTCTCACCATCTTGTCCAGGCCGATCTCCAACCCATAGTCTCAATCCTCCTGAATCCTCCTGCCTCAGGCTTCTGAGTCCTAAGACTGCAGATGCATGTTGCCCAGCTTGGAATGTTGGGGTGGTTTTTTTTTTTGGAAACAGGGTCTTGTTGTGTAGCCCAGGCTGGCCCTAAACTCACTATGTAGCCCAGGCTGTCCTTGAACTCATGGCAATCTCCTGCCTCAGCCTCCCAAGTGCTGGGATTACAGGCGTGCACCACCTAGCCCAGCTATTTCTCTAGACACATTTATTGAATTGTGCCAGAGGGATTGTTTCAGATTCTGGGGAAATATTAGTGAACAAAAAGAGAAAATATTTTGCCTTCGTGGGCCTTACAAATAAGCAAACTTCAAGTTGTCAGGTCCGTGTAGTGGTAGGTTATTCTGCCAGGACAGAGGGCCCAGGACCAAAGCTGAACTAGGGCAGCAGGAAGGCGTTAGAGACAGGTTTTTCTGAGATGCTCCCTGGAGCTCTCATTTAATCTCAGTAGGAGCCAACCAGCCTTTGGAGCGGGTCCCAGTGTGAATTAAGGTAAAATGGTATAGACTCCCTCAAGTCCCTTCCCGGGATGGGATGCCAACAGCTTGAGGAGCTAATGAATAAGCTGGTTTTCTTCTCTGTCCAGGAGTTTCCTCTCAATTCCCGGGTGGGTGACAAAGGTAGGTGGCACCTCAGGGTCCCGGCAAGTTCCCGTCTGGGGGCCGTGGGTACCGTGCAGACCCGACCCGCACCCCGGCCTGGGCGCAGCCCGAAGGCGCCCCGAGCGCGCGGGTGACGCCGCGACTCCGCGCTTCCTGCTTGGCGGCGGGGCCTCTTCCGCGCGGTGACGCGCTGGGTTCTTACCAAATATGTCCCTTTCCCCTCCCTCGCCAGCTCCATCTCCCGCAGGCGCCCCGAGCTGCGGGGCTGGGGCTGCCCCTTGGACGTCGGCCTGCCTGGGTGTCGCGGGCCAGCCCGGCGGGGAGCGCCCCCTGCGCTATGCCCTTCAGGAAAGGTAGGGTTCCCCACCCCCACCTTGCCCCAGCGACCTGTGCTTGGCCGGCGGGCGAAGGCGGGCTGGGGTCCCCGCCCGCCAGGTGCGGAAGAGACCCGCGCCACTTGGTCCCCTAGGGTCCTGCGTTGTCCCTCTGCCCCCGAACTGCCCCTCCAGCACCCACTGTCCCCTTCGGGCCCCTCACTGTTCTCCCGAGTCCCGCACAGTCCCCTCTGGCGACTCCGCGGCGACACCACGTGCCCGAGCCGGGGCTCGGCGCCGGTGGCCGGGAGCGCAGGACGCGAGTCGCGACACTTTGAATCCTGGAATCCGCTGCATGCCGGTCCCGTGGATGCAGACGGATAGGGGTCGGGAATCTTGGGATTTCTGCGGACTGGACTGGGGGTTCTGGAGACTAAGCGGCCCAGCGCGGTTTGGAAGTGCACGGCGAAGGGGAGGCGGACGCGCGGGGTGGAAGGCACAAGTGCGCCAGTCCTACCTCCACCCGGGGAAGTCATTTTACGACCCAGGCTCAGTCCCTTCCTCTGCAAAGCCAGCCTGTGAAAGAGGAACGTTCGGCGGGGGCTGGGAGACAGGGCACAGAGAAGCAAACCAGCGCCCAGTGAGGAGTCTGTGCCAGTCCCGCTCCCTCTCTGCAGGGGCTGCCCTCTGCTCTGGCCTCGACAGACCCGAGCTCTGTCGGGAAGGCCCGAGACTCCTGTGGCTACTGGTGGGGGGTCGCCGGTCTCTGTGGCCCCATTTTACAGGCAGGGCGGTGGAGGCCCAGAGACTCCCCACAGTCACTGCTGGGGGCGCTGCTGGAAGGCGGGTCACTCACAGATCAGAGCCCAAGCAGGGATGGTCTCATGGACAGGGGAGCAGAAGTGTAGGGTAGAGAGGATTCATTTTACCTTCAAACCAGGCCTGACTCCTGCATTTTCTGTGTGTGTTAGGAAGGGCCTGGCTCAGAAGATTGATTGTCACTCAAGACCAAGGACTCCCTGACCCTGCCTGAGTACATTGCCTGGCGAATGAAGGCTGGCCTCCCCAGTCCTGTGTGGATCTTTCTGCTTCTTCCGCCTGTCTCCCTTGTCTCTCTTCTCATAATTCAGTTGAACTGTCCAGTGTGTGCTAGGTTGCTGGGCAGCTGTGTTGGCCTTTGTCCTGGAAGCAGAGGGTGCTAAGATACCAGTGTGAGCTCCTGGCTGTGAAGAAGGCTGACAAACTCCCTGCCCTATGGGAGAGGGAAAGAGGAGGGTGGTAAGAGTAGGAGTGATGGCATCTGTCCTTTTCTCAGTCCACTGGTGACCTTCCGGCCCATGGTCACTGTACTCAGTGTCTCTGTCATTCCATGTACAATGTAGCCACCTTGTCTCTGGGCTCTGTCAGGCTGTCAGAGACCTCACGTGGCCTCATTAGCTGCAGGGTGACAAGTTATTTATTGCTGAGTTCATTACTTCTCCTGTGCGCTATTGTCCTTATGGTCTCTGTTTGGCAAACTCTTAGAAGCAAAGACATGTGTTTGTCACAACACTTAGGGACTTGCCTTATGTAGCAAGGCACTAAGTAACTGGCTGTTAAATTATTTTTTGCACATAAAAAGTCACTTTATGGAAGCACATCTTAGTGCATTATTAATAACATTTGTAAACTGCCAAGAAAATGAAGCTTTGATTTTATTTGATGTTGCTTTAATCTGAAAAAGCATAGCTGCAGGTTGAGGAAAGTAACCCCCACACACACACACACATTCTGTGGGCGCTACTTCGTGAAGGTCCTAAGACCTGAAAAATAGTTCTTACTCAGAATCAGTGCTGTCTGAATTTTCTGGAAACTTTGGTGTGAGCCTGGGCAGAGCTTCCCCACTTGATTGAGTTGTAAACTCTTATTTATCTATAGGCACAGCAAGGGGGACTTGCAGGGAGCCAGGGTGTGGCTCGGTGTCATGATGAGCCATGTTCTGAAGCTGCCTGGAGGTGACAAGGTCCGCAGTGATGGGGAGCACGGAGCCCTGTCCCTGCACTGTTCAGAGGTGGGGGAGGCACCTGTGCACATGCTCTTTGTACTTTTTTAGTTTTGAGACATCTGCATGGATTAACTATTCAAAGTGCAATTTAAATGAAAAGACTGCTGTCCTCCCCAAATGAAATACAGCCAGATGGAGAAGCCCTGCTCAGTAGGCTAGAAGCCCAGAAGTGATGGCTGCTAGTCCCTTCCCAGGCTGTGCTTCTGTGTCTTGACAAGCATCCTCCTTGGGATCCAATCCATCAGGGGCCTGGCAAGACGCACATGAGTAATAAGCAAGATGCAAAGAGTTTGAGGGAAAGGCCCATTACTTAGGATTGGGCAGGGTATAGGAAAACCACAGGGTTAGATAGAACCATGGGTGTTTACCACCTTCAGCCTGAAATGTGGAGGGTGAGAACATTTCAACCCTGATAATCAACCAGATGCCTTAGGACCTGGTCTTGTGCCTCACATGTGGGAGGAGCACATGACATCTGCTGAATTGCATTAGGGTAAAGTTGAGTGATATGTGTGCCAAGTCTTTCATTCTTTTTCACATTTGGGCACTTGCCATGGCCAGGATGGGCCAGGTACTGTACTAGGTTCATAGACAGACACAGGTCCCATCCCTGGTGTTCACCTCTTGCGCTGTCCAACAAGTGCCAGGAAGGAGGAGTCAGAAGTCTGAATGCAGAGCAGTTCTGAGTAAGAAGGCTACAGCTAAGGGAATGACTCTGGATGTGGCCAGGGCCACCCTCACTGGACTATGTCACACAGGCTTTGGTTGGGTTGGTATTGTGGTGGTGGCTAGAATTGAGCCAGAAGGAATTAAGCCTGAATATTCTTGAGCCAGAAGGAATTAGGCCTGAACATTCTGCCTTCCTGTCATGGACCAAATGATATCATACATGTCCGGCAGAACCCTGCAGCATGGGCTGAATAAATGTGGTGGTTGCAATTGAGCCGTGTTGCCCCCATTCAGGGCAAGGCTCAAGCAGCAGCAGACAAGCATGGGGAAGAAAGATGCCAGTACTGTGTTCAGTGCCCACAGCTCTTTCTGGCTGGTCTCCAGGACAACTGCAGCTGTAGTAGGAGGGACTGTGGCCTCCTAGGCCTAACCGTCCGGGAGAAGTGGGACTGTAGAAGTGGGTTTGAGATTGGTGTGGATAAGGAGGAGTTAGTATCCTGACATAAAATGTAAAAGAGAGAGATTAATGATAACTAGAGGGAAGCATGTTAGCTAGATGTGGGGAGGAAGGTCTGGAATGTCATGATTTGGTGTGGGAGCTGCTTTGAAGAGAGGCCAGGACCATTCTCCTTGAATTTTGCCCTTTACAAATCGGGTAGGTAGTGCTTTCTCTCAGGGGGTTGGAGTGTGGCTCAGCCTGCAGCCTGGGGTCTTGGCTCAATTCTTGAGGTCCCTTTCATGTCTAGAGTCCTATAAAAATGTTGTCAAACAATTGTGTTCCAAGTATTCTTGCATGTCCCCATTAGAAGGGACAAGGAAGCTGGGCATGAGGCCATAGGAGGCTGAGGGAAGAAGATGGTGAGTTCAAAGCCATCCTGGGCTACATAGTGAGTTTAAGTCTGGCCTGGGCTACATAGCCAAACTCTGTCTTGAAACTACCTCCAACCAAACCAAAACAAGCCAAAGCCAACACTCCTCCCCCCAAAAGAGAGAGAGAAAGAGAGAGAGAGAGAGAGAGAGAAGGAATAGCAGCTGGAAGTTTTAACAATAAAAACTATAAGAATCAAAACTCATTTTTATTGAGCACCTTTCAAGTGCTGTGCAAAGTGCTTTACATGTTTCCACTTATCTCCACAATAACTATTGGAAGTACCTGCTGTTATTACATCCCTTGAAAGATAAGAGAAATGAGGCTGAGAGAGGTTAAGTAACTTGTCAAAGGTCCCTCAGCAAATCATGTGATAGACAGAGCTGGGGCTTAGATGCCTCTAGTCTGCTCAACATGGACCACAGAGCTATTATGCGATATAGTACAATATATGACAGAAGCCATGTGGTATGACAAATATGCCATTAACAATCAGTAAGCTCTTTACCTTAGGGACAAGTAGAGGATCTTCTGGATCTGTGAGCAGTGTGTCTAGATGGAAGCAGATGAAATGGCCCTTGTGTTCTGCCTGCTTTAGGAGGAATGATGGGGTGGGGGGGTCCCTGAGGGTACTGTTGTGGTAGGTGCTGAACTCATCAACTCCAGTTGGGGTATCATGGAGAATGAGCTGTCCAGATGTCAAGACTTTAGCTCAAATATGCACTAATTGCCATCTTCTGGGCATAGAGTTTCCACAAGTGCCACAGAAACACAAAGGAAAAACAAGTGACACCATCTCAAGGGAGGTAGCACTTCTAGACTTCCTTTAGGCTGGCTGCTTACAAGAGGAACTTGACAGACTCTAGCTCAACATTTTTGGAACCCAAACTAGGACCCCTTGATCTTCTGCTTCCCCAGTATGGTGGCAAAGAACAGATCCTGAAACAATATACTCAAGGAGGGAGACTGATTCTCTTGTCCCTTTCGTGGGCTCCTGTGCAGTACCAGCCATGTCTACAGGGCATGTTCTGGAAGCTCTCTTCTCTCTTGCTGCCTAGGACCCTGCTGGATGTGAACTGGGCTCCCTGATCATTTTAGAGACTGCTTCTGACTCCAACTTCAACATGCTCCTCTGGAAGAGAGGACTGAAGAATGACACTGGCTCTGGGAGGGCATCTCTAAGGTCACTGAGACAGCTCCTTTTCACATCAAGAGCCTCTGACTCCACATTGTCCTGTAGTTTATCACCTGAATTTTCTACTGACAGTGTCTTTCAGCTTTTATCATTTAGCTGCACCTTTCTGACATCTTCTCATTACTCCCTAAAGTGCATCCTCTGCCATGTTCAGGTGTGTTCCTCAGTGTCCAACAGTGTTTTCGTAGGTCCCCCAATGTGTGTACAATTTTACCTGCTGCATCCCTCCTCAGACCTACTCCACTTTCCCAAGTGTCTACCATGCTTCATTACACATATACTAGCATGCTTGTACACACATGCACAGACACATGTACACACATGCAAGCTTTTGATCATTCACAAGGGCCTTCTCCAGTCCATGTCTTCTCTGAACTTTTCCATCTATCTACTCTATGCACATGGCAGCTCATGCAGCTACATCCTGGCCCATAACCAGAATTTAACACTTGTTTCTTCTCAGAATGCTTCCTGTATGCTAATTCTGTGAGCTGTCTGAGTTGGGGATCTATACCTCATATGGTAGCAAGTGCTTTATAAATTGTTGTCATTTGGTTAATCTATTAAAAATTTCATCTTCTCCAAAAAAAAAAAATTCATCTTCTTTTGGAATGAATAGTTGCAGAGCTACATTGAGATCCTTAAAAGCTGTACACACTAAAATAATGCTGGTCATCCTCCCCACACTTAATTTAAAATAAAGACAATACCAAACAATAAATGTAAGGAAGAAGAACATATTTCTGATGTTTTAGTGGTCATCATCTTGGTACTTTTTCTGAAATATCAAGTGTCAAACAACAGCAACAATGAGAATGGTCTGCCCACTGCTTTGTTCAGACCTTAGCTTATTCAGGTCAGTTTCTTCTTGGCTCACACTACCAACTGCTCCTAAGTGTGCATCTTTGAAATTCCCAAGCTCTTGTAGCAGGCATTCTTCTGCCTCTGGCAGTGAACTGTGAGTCTCTCCTTTAACTTCCCAGGCCACTGGGAATTTCCCAGGGCAGGGCTGCCCTCTTCCTCTTTGTTCCAGTATCCAGTGTGGACACTAGTAGCCTTCCTGTGCCTCAGTATCTGCTGCTGACTCCATCAGGGCCGGAAGACCAGTCACATTGTGTCCTGCTGTCCTTGCCAATATTTGTATATAGATGAAACTAGATAAACTGAGCATAGGGAAAGAAGTCACAAGTCACATGAGAAGGGTGGGGAGGGGCATGGCAATTACAGGCGGAGGTGGGCAGGTGAGGACTGCCCTTTCCCACTCCATGCCCTTTCCTACTGTTCTGCAGGGCTGTGGTCTCAGGAAAGATAAGATCCTCGGGGCTTTTTATATCATCTGCCACCCCAAGACCCCACCACAAAGGCTTCTAGGTGGCCACACGTAGAGGTCACTCACTCATTCCACAGGCCTGTGGTTATGTTTGTAGATCAGTCAGTCTGTAAGTATCCACA